AAGAATTGAGGCAGTTCTGAAGGCAAAAGGGGGTCCAACCCGTTACTAGCATGGGGTACCTAATAAAGTGGCCGGTGAGTGTATATGTGCTCTTAATTTGAAACCGAAAGTGGACGTGGAACGTTTCAAAAACAAACAGACCACTAATCCCAGTGTTTGACAGACTGCCAAACATTTTTATATTTCCTGGATTTTAGTCTGACTATCTTCATGTCACAATGTTAGTTTATTGTGATCAAAACATTTTATATTCATTGAAACTTTTTTTAGTATAAAATATATTTAATATTATATTTTTTTTATGATTTTTAATTCCGAGAAATGTTATATTAAATAAATTGTTTCTCATATAATTCCCACTTTTATTTCATAACTTTTCTTTTTTTTTTTGTGTGTGTATTTTTTATTTTTATTTTTTTATTTCACCATATTACAGCCCAAAAAAAATCCTGTGTTTTATAATGACAGCTCACTAAGACATAAAAGCCCACACAATTAGTTATGGTGGGAGAAAAATATTTTACACTAATTAGTACTAACTGCCTGATTTTCACATTTTTTGCAAACAGACAGAAGTGGCTTTTTCCTTTTTACAATCAAATGTTTTATTTCATGTTACACCAAGTTAGAACACTATAACACCAAAATTAACCAAAAACAATTACTATATATGTTTGGACAAAATTATTACATCTTTTTTTTGAAAAGGTACATCTTTTTAAAACTGTGCAATAAGATACTTTTTTCAGACCCATTCTTAATGTTAAACATTTATCTATTCTCATATTTAAAAGCCAGTTTACCACAATAACTAATCAGTTAGAAATACCTTTTCATGAAAACTTATTGAGACACATTAAGTTTGAATTCAAGTAATACATAGACATTTTATATCTCATGCTGAAACATTCATATACAATTTATAAATGAATGTATTCTTATGCAAGAACAAATGAAAATGGATTTAATAAACTGAATGACAAACACAAAAGTATGAATATAGAGAGAGAAAGAAAGAGGCATTTTGTAGAAGATTTTATAGCTTCATCATTATTAGCTCAATCTCTGTCACAGACTCCTAGCCTGCATCCCTCACAATGATCAGGCTCATGAGGACTCTTGACATCAACGGCGTTGAACACCCTGTTTGGCTCTTCAATTTCTTCATGGTAGCAATTTCTTCTAACTTTCTTCACCAGGTTCGTCATGAGGATCCGAATGTTGTCTGGCTCAACTAATGGCTTCACCATCGCTGCAGTGGGACAACTGTTGCATTCTTGACGTAAAGGCCTCACCTTGACAGTGCCCTGCCCACCAATTAGGCACATGTGGAAAATAACCATGACCCGGTTTGAAGGCCAAGTTCTCCTACATGAGGTGCAGCTGAATCTAAAACAAATAAAAGGACAATTCAGCTTAAAATTTAGTACTGTATTTTATATTATAGTACAAAATCAAATATTATTATATAACTTCATTAAATCCAACTTCTTTGAAATCAAACTGCACACTTAGGAAGCAATGCTGTTACAACGCTGTTACTGTATTACAGTCACGGCAGTGCTTAACAAATTGTCTTACTATATAGTTTTAAATATATATTGTTATACTGTCATACAGTATTTCTTATGATTTTAAAAGATTTGGGTTATTTTTCAGCTGCATTATCTTTGACAAGAAGCAATAACTGTTATTGTACTTTGTTTGCATGGTTTATATCAACATTATGTACATTTCAAGGAGCTCGTGGCTGATCTTGGTTTAAATGTATTCGGTATCCACGGTTTGCTTCTACTTGACCTATAGGTTGATTTTTGAGTCAAAATACACAAATGATTTTGATTCAGATATATTTTGCAATATAGTAAAGGAAAGTCTATGCACACTTCGGTAAACAAGCAGGATTTCAAACTACCTTGATACAGGAATCTGTTCTACGAAAAAAATGGTAATGGAAAAAAGATCTGAAATAAATATATCACCCCCTGGATGTAGATCTCACATCTGACATATTCAATATACATCAAGTATGTAGAATTTAGGAAAGACAAATAGAAGTTTGTGGCATTTCAATGCTTAGCAGAGTAGATGGCAAACTGCAGTCCAGTACTGACCTTGCACTTGTTTTCCTGAAGTATTTTGTCCAGCCATAGTCTGGATTATTGGGCTCAATACTTTCATCAAACACCAAATTCCAAGTGTCTCCTTTACCACTTAGGATTGCCATTTCTTCATCAAAGATGCGTGTCCAATCCTGCTGGTTCATCTTTAAAAAGCAGATGAGACTGTTGGTTGAAGAGGAGTAAGAGCTCTAACAGCTGATCTTCAGATCTGTCAACCAGCTTGTGGCTGTGACACATCATCAAACAAAGGAAGGGTTGTGGCACTCAGGAAAGTGAAACCTAAAAGTTGACAAAACACAGCCATAGGTTTAGGTCAGAGTTTAATAAGGTGATTATTTTATTGAGGCAGAAACAAAACTGAATGCTATCATTAATACTGAGATAAACTCTGAAAGCTGTCTGTACGTGCAATAAGCACTGTGCTTGTCTTAATGCAGTGCACACAAATAAACTGTAAGCAAGTAGAGCACAATTCAACATTTTAAACAACTTATAATCAAATATATACATATTTACCCAGAAAACTTAAAAATACATTCTCAGTAATATATATTATATAGATATGGGTGTTTGGAAACAATATAAATATACAGATACTAAAAAACAAAAAATATAGATTCTGTTTTCTTTTAGGCACTGATCCTGCTGTTACAAAGCCTCTAGTTATTAATACACAGAAAATGATTATCTGGATTGTTATTTCATAAATAAAACTCTGAAAGGTTTGGCATGGCTGTACATCATGCCCTCTCTAACTCTCAAAGGCTCAAATAAAACCAGTTTAACATGTAGCTTTCAGTAGTCTAATGAGCGATTACTTTTTGTTTAACTTGTTTAAGTATTAATCCAGCTTTTCTGTAATGACCTCAGAGGTTTCTTAAGGCATTAGTGAACTAAAAGGGTATCAAAAACCAAGAAATACAGCATACAAGTTGGTTTGGGATGTGGAAAAGTTTTAAGCAGGGTTGGATCATAGAACAATCGAGGTAAAAATATCCCATATTTGAAAAGGAATGAGTGGGTCAGACACAAACCAGTATTCCAGGACCATCTACCTAAACCCACATGAATGACAACGACAATATCAATCATGAAAGCAGATACAATAATTTTTTATTTAATTTTTTATTATTATTATTTTATTTTCTTTATGTGCAGAGCTGGTGGAAAAATGCTACTTACAGCTGTAATTTCAATGAAAACATTTTGAAATATTCACTCAGGAAACTATTTAATCAGAATACTTAATCATGCCATTCCTCCCATATTAACTACTAAAATTACAATAAAAAGAGATATGTAAGCATATCCTTTATTATGTCAGTCATCTGAAAATACACTCAAAATATTTTTCCAATAGTGTTCTACAACTTGAAAGCTATAGGCTTTACATTCACAAAACGTTTTAATATTGGAGTAATTTTACTCTTTTAATGCGAACTGATCGCATAGGGAAGGTGTTCACCATAACATTTATATGTGCTCTTAATTTGAAACCGGAAGTGGACGTGGAACGTTTCTATAGTAACTGATATATGTGCTCTTAATTTGAAACCGGAAGTGGACGTGGGACGTTTCCATAGTAACTGACACAATCCTGTAGGTTAGCTTCTGGGCAAATTTACCTGTTTTTGTTTTAGTTGTGGTGAAGCAAATTGTTTCCATTAGACATGGTGGAGGGTTCAGATTCATACCTGATACGACCGAACCATCAGCACAAGTAAGTTTGCTCTAAAAGTTTTACGATTTCTTCTTCTTTGTCAGTTTTGCTAGCGAGATTATTGCTAACGAAAGCGCTAATGTTCGTGTATCTCATTTAGCTCACCGCTAAATGCAAATGTAAATTCTATATATAAAAAATGTGTGGCTAATTATCTAACGCTTGTCATTTGATTTTGAATGTTTTATTTGTTTTACAAATATTTTTGCATTTACTCTGTTTTTATTTTTCTTGTATTATCTTATTCATGTAGTGCACTACTGCAGTAAAGTTGGCAATATATTCACAGATTCGGCTTTTCCTAATTAATAACTCGTCGGCGGATGATTTGTTCTACAAAACAGACACCTCTTCGCAACCACAGCAAGACAGACAGTGAGCTACAACCATAGTTTGCTGAAAACAGTTCTCCTATCACGCTGGGAGAATTGGACTCTATCCACTTAGGGACCGTCTGCAAGTTGCAAGATAACCAGAGAGAAATATTCAAAAGCGTCACCAAGGAGTGGTGGATTATTATCAAATTAATTTAATGTGTATCTCTTGTATCTCATACCACAATTATTGGATTCGAAAATAATACTTTTTTTGAGTTATTTCCCAAAGCCCAAATGACAAATGGTGACTCTATTTTATTGTTAGAATAAGAATAAAATGAGCAATAACTACCATATAGATCATTCCAGTGCCTCCAAACTTGTAGGATACATAGATAACTTCATCTGGATCATACTACAACACTTACTTTGGGAAAATATGCTAAACTTTTATTTTTTAGATTTTTTCATTGTTCTTATAAGCAAATAATTATCAATAACTGCACTATTATGAACTGTACCTTCACCAAAACCACTGTACACATGATTCACACCCTCCTGGTGATACTACAACTGTTATTATATCAAATACTTTTTCATATTTTTGGGGAATTTGAGTGAAATCCAGTCACTCAAACTAAGTGGTCATAAGATATTAATTCTGAACTATTAAATAACATTTAATATGTTTTGAATTATGTAAAAGTATAGAAATATTTATAAATAAATAAATAGGGCAAAATAAACAGGTCTGGAGTATTTACTTTTCTTTTTGCCAGGCTTCTACTTAATGTTAACCCAATCTTCCTTTCCAAGTCTATTCCGACGCATCTTGAAGTCTATAGGACAAAAGGAACAGAATTTTTGGTTTATATTTTCACGGACTCAATGGCCATTTATTTTTATATCTTTCTGTACATTAGGTAATAAATAATTGTAAATTTAGATGAAAAACATATTAAGGTAATTGGTTACCTTTGTATACAAGATTGTTCTTTTCTTTTAGAGTTTACGACAGAGTAAAAAAAAAACAGGTTCCTGTGCATTTCAAAAGGGTACTACTACTGTATTATTATGGCAGTAGTGAAATTCAATACACCTAAATGCTCCTATTTCTAATAAGAGTCTGCCAAACTTACCAACAGCCTCGTCACTTAGGGCTGTTGCACAACTCACAATGCCAAGGGGTAACTTCATTAGGGATTTGTGCTGCTGTCATTCCAAGACACTTCGTGTGAAACCATCTTGTACAAGTTCCACACTGAATCTACATTGGGATAAAAACATTAAACATATTTTAAAAAGTTGACATTAGCAAATCTGTAATGCATAAGATTATACAAGATTTGATTACTATAGTATTATCGCAGGAATTTCAAGATTATCCACTATCATCTAGGGATGTTTTCAAACAATTAAAGAGATTTCAGTAAGATTGCAGTAAGTCCTTATTTCCACAGAAGGAACAGAAGTCATCCTTTGCCACTAAAAATATTTAAGCTATATTACTGTAATGTTTGTAGGAAGTTGTCAACATAATAATGGGATATTCTGAACAATATCTGATCCTCTCAGAATTTATCTTCTTAGATTTTGAAGAGATTTTTTTAGACGACTCAATGCAAGTTTTTATCAGCATGGTATTTTTATATATAAATAAGTGGAATGTAGTTCAGTTTTATTGTCCGTCATATTTTAGCGTGAAAAAATGGGCATACTGAGTGTGAGTGTATGAAGATACTGACATCCGTGAGTCTCACACCCATGCCCTGTTATGCATTATGCAAAGTTGAAAAACACTGAATTTAATCATTATGCAACAGCTATATGCATAGTAATATAAAGATAAAAGAGGACTTACAAATAACTAAGGAAAGACTGTGCTGGTAAACTGGCAAAGTACTCCAAAGGCAAAAATATGTCATTCTCTATAGCAGTGTTTTTCAACCCTGGCCCTCAAGGCACACTGTTCTGCATGTTTTGGATGTTTCTGAGCTTCAGCATACCTGATTCAGATGATTACAGTTCAGCAAAGCCTGATAAGCTGCTATCAATTGATAACATGTGTGTGAAAGCTGGCAAACATCTAAAAAATGCAGAGCAGTGTGCCTTGAGGACCAGAGTTGAAAAACACTGCTCTATAGGTCTTACAGTAAAGACTTAAATCTGCTCTTGCAAGTAGAGCTTAATTGACTGTAGCTCCTTTAAATATGCCATATGAATAAACAAAATAAACATCACCAAGAAGGTACACATGAGGTTTACAGTGGTTTTGGTGAGGCTAGAGTTCATCCTGATGTAATTATTGATTATTTATTGAACTAAAAAAAGTATTTAATTAATATATTAACAGTTGTGGTGTAACCAGGAGGGTGTGAATGATGTGTACAGTGATTTTGGTGGGGCTACAGTTAGTTATTGATAATTAATGTAGTTATTGATAATTATATGCTTATAACAACAATGAAAAAATCTAATAAAATAGAGTGTGGCCTATCTTCCCAAAGTAAGAGTTGTAGTATGAGCTAGATGAGGTTTTCTACGTGTGCTACAAGTTTGGTGGCACCACAATGATCTATAATGTAGATTGTGTTCTTTAATCAGGTTCAACTAAAGTTTCTTTTTTTAATTTTTATGCTTTGTTCAATCTTTCAGGTTTAAACCAACCATCGTAAAGGAATATATCCATGAAATTCTGAGGGAGCGTCTATCAGGGGTGCTGTACGATCCAGAGAGTGTCCCAGAGCTGACCCGTTCACTGGCAGAGACCGTTAAGGACAAAGTGAAGAGTTAGTGCTGCTTTAGTTTCCCTTTGGTTTTACTAAAAAAATATCTAACCTAAAAATATCTAACCTAACAAAGCAAGATGTGACCAAGTTTCACTTGAGTTTGCAGAACTTTAGTAAGATTGGACATTTCTGACGTCTTGACAGTGTTTAAAAAAACACAAGCAAAATAAGCTGAAAACAATTTAAACCAAAGATCTCATGTTTTTATTTTAAACATTTAGCTAACATAATAGAACCAGAGGCATTTGATGTGGCAAAGAATCTGTCATTAAAAAGAAAATTAAAGATACATATTAAAAGTATGATTGTGCAGTGTTGTTGCATGAATAAAACATGTTTCTGCAGATCCTTTCATTTTATTTTATTTATGATTAACACCTTATAAAATGCCCTTTGCTTTGTGTTGTTCCCAGATGCAGGATTTGACAAATACAAGCTCGTAGTCCAGGTGATCATTGGAGAACAGCGAGGACAAGGAGTCAAGTAAGTTGTAACTGATACTCAGTCCGGATGGCATGGCCAAAACTTATATCACGATATATAGCTTCATTAGGGCTGATATGATGAGAACAGAGATGGGAAGTAACGAAGTACTTCGTTACTGTACTCAAGTAGATTTTTCTAATATTTTTACTTTACTTTACTACTTATTTTTATGGCGACTTTTTACTTCTACTCCTTACATTTTTACACAAATATCTGT